GGGCCCCGCTGGACCCCGCCTGGGTTTTTCTTCCCACTGAGCGGGGCTTATTGTTACAAGGAGTGGGGTTTTCTTTTCCCCCCTCTGCGTACGAGTTGGATTTGGTGTCGGCCCCTCCCCGGGTTCGGTTCCGTGTTCCCCCGGGTACGTCGGTTCCGTCCTTCCGGAGGTTTTCGGCTTATCGCATCCAACCTGGTGTGGTGCGGGCGGCCTTTGCAGCTTACCTCCTGCGTGACCCGGATTATGCCTCGGAAATGGATCCGTCCACGTTCAGGTTTGGGACTTCGTTCCCTTTCTGGCTCCGTTACGAGGTTCCGGAGTCGTCCTGGCTAGCAGACTGCCCCTTGTTTGGTCTGGATTCCTGGCATTCCTTCTGTCGTTCCCGCACGCTGGAGTGGCGGGAAGCTTCCACGGTGCTTCAGGTTTTCCTGGGGGGTGAACTTGAGTACCTGAATGAGTGCTTGTTTGCCCCTGCCCTTCCCCGCGATGTGGGCGTTATTCAGCTCCATGTGCAGGTTCCCTCCCTTTCGGCGGCGCTCGTGGCGGAGGACTTGCGCGCCCGGGGCCTTTTGTGTTCGGCCTTGCGGTTCTTTTCCCTCCTAGAGCTGTCTTCGGATTGGCTCGTGGAGGATGTGGGGATGCTTGGGTCCGTCCCGGGGTCCGGCACCTTGTCCTCGGCTGCGCGTTCGTCGGCTGCCTTGTTGTAGCTGTTCACGCCGATTTTGCGGGATGCGGTTTCCCTGTTCTATGCTTCCCGTCTCGCGTGTCAGCAGGCGGTGCTGGGTTCCTCCGTGGAATCTGCTTGGGCTCTGGCTCTTAGGCGTTCTTCACCTTTTTGTCCTCTCCTGTTTGGGGAGTCGGCCGTGGCGCAGTTTATTCAGGCTGCGTCGGCGGCTTGTCGTCCGATGTCGGACTTGTTGGTTTTCCGGGGGTCCCGGGGTGGGTCTTCCCGGAAAGGTCGTGCCAGGGCTCGGGGTTCCTCTCGTCGTGGTAGGCCTCTGGTGTCAGGTTTGGGGTTGGCTCCTCCTGCGGACCCTCCCTCGTCTGGTCGGCGCGGTGTTCGCGCTGTGCGGGGTTCTGGGTCTCGTAAGGGTCGCCGGCCCTTTCGCGGTTTGCCCCCTTGACGGGGCGATGGGGGGGCGGCTTGTGCTGTTCGCCCGCGCCTGGTCCCACGATTCGTGGGCCTTTCGGGTCGTGTCTCGCGGCCTGCGGTGGCGTTGGGTGGCCCCTCCCCCCTTTGGGGGGTCGGGGCTGGCAGGGCAGGCTTCTTCCCCTGCGCTCTGTCGAGTCGTCTTGGAGTGGGTACGCTTGGGCGTCGTCGAAACGACGTCGTCCCTCAGATGGGTTTCCCGTCTGTTTCCGGTTCCGAAACGGAACTGCGCGGACCTGCGGTTCATTCTGGACTTGTCCCGTCTGAACCCCTGGGTTCATTGCCCCTCCTTTCGGATGACTACGCTGTCTCAGGTTCGGCTCCTCTTGGAGCCGGGAGCTTGGATGGTGTCCCTGGACCTCTGGGACGCTTTTGGCATGTCCCGATTCATCCGCAGTTCAGGGACTGGCTCGGTTTTGTAGTGGGGCATCTGAGTTACCGCTTTCGTTGTCTCCCGTTCGGGTTGAACCTGGCACCTCGCGTGTTCACACGCCATACACGGGTTGTGGTGGCTCGTTTGCGTCTCCTAGGTGTTCGGGTGTTGGCCTACCTCGACGACTGGCTGGTTTGGGCTCCCAGCCAGTCAGCTTGCTTGCTAGCCAGGGATTTGGTTCTTTCCCAGCTCGCCGGGTTCGGGTTCTTGGTGAACTGGAGGAAGTCCCATCTGGTTCCCTCTCAGGTTCGGACTTGGCTGGGTCTCGTGTGGGACTCTCGAACCGCCTCCTTGTCTCTCCCTCCGGAGTCTCTCCTGCGGCTGCGGTCCCGCCTTCGTCTGTTTCTGGAGGGCCCTCGGGTCACCCGGCGGTTGCTCGAGGGGCTGTGCGGGAGCCTGAACTTCGCGATGGTGGTCTACCCGCCGGGTCGGGTTTGGCTTCGACGGCTGTTCTGGTTCCTTCGGGGTTCCCCCTTCCGCCTCTCTCGCGATCGCAGAGTTCGACCCCTGGGGGACTTGCGTCGGTTGCTGCGTCACCGGCTTCCTCTTCGGGTTTTTCGGGGTTCAGTGCCTTGGCGCCTACCCGAGCCCTCGCTCGATGTGTACACGGATGCGTCGTCTCTCGGCTGGGGTTTTGTGACCAGTGCTCACCAGGCCGGCCAGGGGCGTTGGGATCCGTCCTTCCGTCGAGCTCACAGTACGGTGCGGGAGTTCGCGGCGGTGTGGTTTGCTCTGGGGAGGATTCGGGTGGCCCGCGGATCGACGATTCGGCTCCATTCGGACTGCTCTCCGGTGGTTCATTGCCTGAACCGCGGGGGTTCGATGCGGTCCTTGTCTCTTTGGGGTTGGTCGCTTCGGGTGACTCGTCTGCTGAGTTCTCGGGGTTTGGCTCTCCTGGCGGTTCACGTACGGGGCGTGTCCAACGTCTTGGCCGACGCCCTGTCTCGCTTCGTTCCCCTCTCCACGGAGTGGACAGTCGACGACGAGTCCTTCCGTTGGCTTTGCCAGACGTTCGGGCGCCCCGAAGTGGACCTCTTCGCGTCGGCGTGGTCGCGGCGTCTTCCCGTTTATGCGGCGCCCTTCCCCGATTGCGAGGCCGTCGGGGTCGATGCCTTTCGGCTAGACTGGTCGAGGTGGGGGTTCCTGTACCTCTTTCCCCCGGTTCGGCTGTTGCTCCAGGTCCTGACTCGCTTAGAGACTTACCGGGGGAGAGTTGTCCTTCTGGCCCCTTGGTGGCCGGCCCAGCCTTGGTTTCAGGCGCTGGTTGCTCGGTGTCCGAACCCGAGGGTTTTCCCGCGGCTCCGCCTCTTCCAGCAGATCGGGCCGGTACGTCACGTAGCTGGTTCGATCTTCTCCTCGAGTCTTCGCGTATGGTTTTTTTGACTCTAGTCTATCATCATCTCTGGTGATCAGGTGGCCTCCTTGTTGGTGTCCCACCTGAGGGCTTCTTCTCGGCGGCAGTATGAAGTTTCCTGGCGGTCCTTCCGATTCTTTTTGCGTCTTCGTCGTGTTAGCTCCTTGTCTGTTCGGGTGGTCTTGTCCTTCCTCTCGTGGTTGTTTCAGGACCGTCATCTTATGCCTAACACTGTCGCTTCGTATCGTGCGGCGCTGGCGGAGCCGCTTCAGCTTGCTTTCGGTATCGATGTTACGTCTGCGCCGTTTCGCAAGCTGTCTCGTGCATTGTTTCACCTCCGGCCTGCTCATGCGTCGCCTGAGCCGTCCTGGTCTTTGGACAGAGTGCTCGCTTTCCTTTCATCTCCTCGTTTCGTTGTGGCCCCTTCGGTCCAGGATTGTTTTTCCAAGGCACTTTTCTTGTTGGCTTTGGCCTCTGGGGGTCGGGTAGGGGAGCTTCATGCTCTCCTCCGGCGCAGGGGTTTCTGCTCTTTTGGTCGTGGTGATAGTTTTGTTCGTTTGCAGCCGTCTCCTTCTTTTCTGGCGGAGAATGAGACTGCTGCGTTCCGGAGGGGTCCATGGGTGGTTGATGCTTGGTTGGTCAGGCCGGGGGTGCATCATGTTTTGTGTCCGGTTGCGGCGCTTCGCCGTTATTTGCGCGCCACAGCTTCTGTGTCCGGGGACGCGCTGTGGGTTGATCCGGTTTCCCTTCTTCCCTGTTCGCGGGTTCGGGTCTCTCAGGTCGTCCGCAGGGTTATTAGGTCCAGCCAGCCTGCGGTCTATCCCCGTGCCCATGACGTTCGTAAGTTCGCGGCTCTTGCTGCCGTCTTTGGGAATATGTCTTGGTCTGATATTCGGGCGCGGGGATTTTGGCGGTTGAACAGGGTCCTGGCTGCTCGTTACCTTGTGAATGTCCCTGGGCCTCGTCGGGCCTGGCGGTTGCAGCCAGTTGTCTCGGCTTCGAGTTGAGGGGTGAGCGACGACCGCCTCCCGGGTAAGTCCCTCTTTTTCTGTCTGTGGGTAGTTAGCTCCGGGGAGCCGACGGGGCTCCCCCCAGAAAACCAGCGTTGAATGTAATGAAACGCCATTTTCTGGGTGAGTCCCGGAGGCTCCCCGGCATCCCTCCCTCCCTCCGGTCGGCGATTTTTCGCGTTTTTGACATCCAGCCTCAAGAACTGAGGTGTGGGTAGCCGGCGCGGGGGGTCTGGGGCTCCCCCTTCCCCCTCCCGGGGAGGGGGGAGCTGTGCAGACAGCGGCGCGGCAGTGTGTGACGTCACACTAGTTTGCTTGTTTTCGGTTGGGGAGTTCTATCCACTAGTTCGGTTTTAGGTAGCAATTTTAACCAGAATAGGGGTTTGTTTTGGGGCGCTTACCTTTCTGGGTGCCTGTTCCGGTCGATGGCAGACATAGAATGCTTCCAACTACACGGGGGCTTCTATAGGCCATTGCTCCCCTTGCCTCTCTGAGGGGGCCCGGTTCTGGCCGTGGTCCCCGGTAGGCCTAAGAACTCCATACACATGACTGATGCCAAAGTCTGACATTAGCATATCAGCCTGGGATAGCTCCGGGGAGCCTCTGGGACTCACCCAGAAAATGGCGTTTCATTACATTCAACGCTGGTTTTTTTTTTTGTAATTATCAAGGCTGCAAAAGATTTTTCTGTGTCACATATCACTGGAGACTAATGCGTCTCTGCCTGACTCCTAACCATAGATCTACTTCCTATGAATAGATTAAATTAAAACTTCTACAGTACAGAAATTATAGCAAATATTAAATTGTTTTATAAGCCATTTTCATTTCAAAATTTTATAAGAGGTTGCACTAATCAGTTGAAGGTTGTGTGGTTGGACTGGAGCTCAGGCTCAGTCCATTCTCACAACTTGGTGAGTACCAAAATAATACCATTGAACATTTAATGTATAAATACTGTAGAAGAAATAACTAAGAAGTTGAAAATTTATTAAGCATTTTATGTATCTTTAGATTAGATAAAACACAATACACATATACAATTTATTTCAGGTGAGAAAATTCGCTTTAAGGTTGTGGCAGAACAGTTCACAGACACAACTCCAGCAGGACCAAGTCTTGTAGAGGGAAATGTTGCAGTAGCAGATAGAAAAGAGGGGAAAATTCCTTATATTGTATATGTAAGTCCATCTGCATCTGTTTCATTCAATACTCTAGTAGACTCATTAGACTATGTGGGTTTTTAGACTGCAGTTCATTTTAATGTAAACAAGGCTAGATCATTAGTTTGCAACTGTGTGGTGCTTGGATTGTCAATTCAGTTTTGCATCTTTTCTGTGAAGAGGCCCCTTTGGCTCCCTGGAGTTATACCGGGCTGATGTACATATTAGACCATGACAACAGTCAATCGAAGAAGTTCTAGGCCTACTGGGGACCAGAGCCAGAACCTGGCCCCCTCAAGAAAGGTACGAGGAGCAATGGCCTAAAGACACCCCCGTGTAATTGGAAGCAGTCTTTGTCTGCCATCTACCAGGTCAGGCACCCAGAAAGGTAGGAATTCCAAAACAAACTACTACTGATTAAATAATTTGCAAACCGAAAGCCGAACTAGCAACAGAACTCCCTAATCAAAACCAAGGAAACAAGTATGATGTCACCACAAATGCCGTGCATCCGTCTGCGCAAACCCCACTGTCCCCCTCCCGGGGACGGGGGATCCCAGACCCCCACACCAGCAACTCTCCTCAGTTCACAGGCCGTTGTGAGGGCGAACGGTTGATTGACTCTGGCTCCATCCTTTGAGCAGTGCTGCAGTGCGGTGGTGGTGTTCAATTTTGGTATAGTGCGAGACAGGAAAAACACAAGAGCACTGGGGATGCATGCACCTAGGGCTGCCTTCCCTAGGTGCCCTGTAAGTACTGCCCTTGCGGCTTCAGGGTTATCTTCCCTGAGCCGTTCGGGAACTACCTCCGCGTGGTTCTGTTGCTGCTCGGTGATTGCCCGCCCTTGGGGTTCAGTTGGGGTGGTTCTTGCTCCTGTTTTCCCTTGGGTAGGAAGTAGTTTCGTCGCTGGCAGGGGCGCGATGTACTGTGCAGCTGTCTGATATACGCATAGCGACCGGTTCTGTTCACCTGGAGACATTGTGCTTTTGCTGGGTTTTTCTTTTATTTTTGTTTTGTTTTGCCTAGTAGGGGTCTGCCTGGTGTGGTGGTAGGACCACTTAGGATTTAGGTGGCCCTCCACTAGGTCTCCGTGCTTGCACACGTCACAGGGGTTCAGCTTATAGTTGTTTGCTTGGTAGCCCTGGGATAACCGGTTAGCAGTATCTTGCCTGGGTTTCCCTTAGTAGTCAGTCTAAGGGTCCTGGAAACCTCTTTTGGGGCTCAGTGGTCCGATGGAAGAGACCCTAGAGTCCCACCTCGCCTTGTGCAAGTTTGAAGATTGCTCTGTCCCCTTGACTTAGGGTGACACTCACCGTCTTTGTCTCCACCATGCTGCTTGTTGGGTCAATGACACCTTTGACCTGGAGTCCTGCGGGTGGTGTTCCTTATTTGTACTCCAATTCACCCAGTTCAATGAGATTGATATTCGGGTGCAAGCAGCTTCGGCGTTGCATACAAGGTTTAGGTTGCTGCAACGCGCAAGGTTGGTTGCCTTTCCGGAAGCCCCACAACTGCCCCATTTTGGTTATAGGGACCCAGATTTGGGGGTGTTAGTTGCTTTGACTTCGGTTTCATCTGCACCCCCTAGTCCTTTCCCTGCTGTGGTTCATCTTGCCCTCCCTTCCCTGCTCCCGGCTCCCAAACGTCTGTGGGTTTCAGAGTCGGGGCAGGGTTTGCCTGGTGGTGAGTCCCGGGGGGGGCTTCGGGAAATGCTCCTTCCGGATCGACGGGGAAGGCATTCGAGCCTGTTTCTCCTGCTGGAGCCCTTGGGCCGTGCCAGTGGGCCCCCTTCATCCCAGCTTTACCGGCGGACTCTGCCTTTTCTCCAGAGGCAGAGGGTTTGGAGGACGGCTCGGCCCCGAGTCTTGATGTGGAGGTTCCAGGGGCTGGGGAGGAGTTGACTTGGGGTGCTTGGGCCCTATTTGAACCCACTTGGGAGTTGGTACCCTTGGCACGGGGCTTGTTGTTACAGGGGGAGGGGTTTTGGACTCCCAACCAGTCTGCATGTCTGCTTGCCAGGTATTTGGTTCTTTCCCAGCTCATTGGGTTTGGGTTCTTGGGTCTTGTGTGGGACTTTTGGACCGCTTCCTTGTCTCTCCCTCCTGCTACGCTGTTGTGGCTGCGGTCCCGCCGCCACCTGTTTTTGGAGGGCACCCGGGTCAAACGGTTGTTCAAGCAGCTGTGCGTGAGCCTGAACTTCGCTGTGCTGGTCTACCCATCGGGTCGCATCTGGCTTTGGCGGATGTTTTGGTTTCTTCAGGGTTGTCCCTTCTGCCGCTCTTGCGATCGATGGGTTCGGATTCCGGGAACCCTGCATCGGCTGCTGCATCGCCGGCTTCCTCTGCGGGTTTTTCGGGATTCTGTGCTGTGGCGCCTCCCCGAACCCTCGCTTGATGTGTTCACGGGTGCCTTGTCTCTTGGCTTGGGTTTTGTGACAAGTGCTCACCAGGCCAGCCATGGTCGGTGGTGTCTGGCCTTCCATCGAGCTTACAGCACGGCGCGGGAGTTTGTGGCGGTGTGGCATTCGCTTCAGGGGATTCGGGTCGCTCGAGGAACAACAATCCGGCTCCATTCGGACTTCTCCTCAGTGGTTCATTACCTGAACCGCGGGGATTCGATGCGGTCCTTGGTTCTTTGGGACTGGTCACTAAGGGTGACTTGTCTGCTGAGTTCTCGAGGTTGGGCTCTCCTTGCGGTTCATGTTCAGGGGGTGTCAGACGTCCTGGCGAACGGCCTGTCTCGGTTGATTCCCCTTTCCACAGAATGGAGGGTCGATGCCGACTCATTCTGTTGGCTCTGCCAGACGTACGGCGCCCAGAGGTGGACCTCTTCGCATCGACATGGTCGAAGCGTCTTCATGTTTGTGGCGCCCTTTCCAGACTGCGAGGCCGTCGGGGTCGATGCCTTTCGGCTTGACTTGTTGAGGTGGAGTTACCTGTACCTCTTCCCTTCGGTCCGGTTGTTGCTCCGGATCCTGGCTCGGTTGGAGACCTACCAGGGGAGAGTAGTCTTGTTGGCTCCTTGGTGGCAGGGCCCAGCCTTGGTTTCAGGCGCTTCTTGCTCAATATCCGAACCCAAGGGTCTTCCCACGGCTCCACCTCTTTTAGCAGATCGGTCCGGTCTGGTACGTGGCTGGTTCGATCTTCTCTTCCACTCTTTACTATGGTCTTTTGACGCGGGTGTATCACTACTTGTATTGTGATCAGGTGGCTTCATTGATGGTGTCCCTTCTGGGAGTTTCTTCTATACGGCAGTGTGAAATTTCCTGGAGGTCCTTTCGGCATTTTTTGTCTCTTTGTAGGTTATCTTAGATTTCTGATCGGGTTGTTTTGTCCTTTCTCTCTCGGTTGTTTCAGGACCATCATCTTATGCCAAATACTGTCGCCTCGTATCATGCTGCGCTGGTGGAGCTGTTGCAGCTTGGGGTGGATGTCACTTCTGCTCCGTTCCGCAAGCTTTCTCTGGCATTGTTTAACCTCTGGCCAGCTTGTGCGCTGCCCGAGCCATCCTGGTCGTTGGACCGGGTGCTCTCTCTTCTCCTCGGTTTGTAGTGGCTCCTTTGGTTCAGGACTGTTTTTCTAAGGCACCTTTCTTGTTGGCATGCAAGACAAGAAAGGCCAATTTAACCCCTGCTGCTCCAGCGCAGGGGTTTCTGTTCTTTCGGTCCTGGTGGTCAAATCGTTCGGTTGCAGCCTTCTCCTTTTCTGGCGAAGAATGAGTCTGCTGCTTTCCAAAGGGGTCCTTGGGTTGTTGATGCTTGGTTGGTTCAACTGGGGGTGCATCATGTTTTGTGTCCGGATGCGGCTCTTCGCCGTTATCTGCGCGCCACGGCTTCCGTGGCAGGGGACGCGCTTTGGGTGGACCCGGTTTCCTTTCTTCCCTGTTCCAGAGTGTGGGTCTCCTAGGTCGTCCGCAGGATTATTTGTTCCGAACAGTCTGCAGTCAATTCCCATGCCCACGACGTTCGTAAGTTCGCGGCTATGACTGCTGTTTTGGGGAATATGTCCTGGGCTGACATTCGGGCACTGGGTTTTTGGAGGTCTAACAGGATCCATGCTGCACTGTATCTCATTAATGTTCCTGGCCCTTCTCAGGCATGTGTAGCCATGGGTCACAGGTTGCAGCCAGTTGTCTCGACGTAGAGTTGAGGAGCGAGTGACGACTGCCCCCCCCCTATCCCCCCGGGCAAATCCCTCTTTTTCTTTATCTCTGGTTAGGTAGCTCAGGGGAGCCGAAGGGGCTCTTCACAGAAAACCAGCGGTGAATGTAACAAAACGCCATTTTCTGGGTGAGACCTGGAGGCTTCCCGGCATTCCTCCCTCCCTCCCAGTCGGCATTTTTTTTCGTGTTTTTTGATACTTGCCTCTGAACTGAGGAGAGTTGCCGGTGTGGGGGTCTGGGACCCCACCGTTTTCCTCCTAGGGAGGGGGGGGGGGGGGTTGCACAGATGGATGCGCGCCGTTTGTGGTGATGTCATACTTGTTTCTTTGGTTTTGATTGGGGAGTTCGGTTGCTAGTTCGGCTTTCGGTTTGCAAATTACTTAATCAGCAGTAGTTTGTTTTGGAATTCCTATCTTTCTGGGTGCCTGACCTGGTAGATGGCAGACAAAGACTGCATCCAATTACAAGGGTGTGTCTTTAGGCCATTGTTCCTCGTGCCTCTCTTGAGGGGCCAGGTTCTGGCTTTGGTCCCCGGTAGGCCTAGAACTCCTTCGATTGACTGTTGCCACGGTCTAATATATACACATCAGCCCGGTATAGCTCTGGGGAGCCTCCGGGTCTCACCCAGAAAATGCCGTTTCATTACACTCAACGCTGGTTTTTCCTGGGGGAGCTCCAGAGTGGCTCCTTAAAGTCTTCTCGCTGAGATGACTTCTGGCAACTGAGTCATATCAGTCATAGGAGTCCTGTTTGCCCTACTGGGGTCCAAAGCCAGAACCTGGCCTGCCTCAGAGGCACGTGGAGCTGAGGATTCTTATGAACACCCACACTGGGAAAAGTAACCAGAAAATCAACGA